CAGGAATGCAGAGTTTTCCAGGTGAAACTACAGTCCCCAGAGATGGGCTCTGGACAGAGGGGACATGGGGCAATTTGGAGGTGTATATCTGTGCAAGGATGCCACCCCTGTGCGGGGCAGTTTGGGGCAGGGATGCTTGCAACGATCCCCAGTCCCTAGCACACCCTCCCTGTGACATGTCTGTGGCCCCATCTCTCACCCCCCATCGCAAGCTATCACCCCCAGAGTTTAGCTCCTCACCTGCTTCCACCACATGGTCCATGGTGGGGAAGTGCTTGAGCACCCTGGTGCTGACGGAGCACAGGATGAAGACTGCTGACAGGCTGGCATAGCGGATGAGGGTGCGCCGCAGGATCCGGCCCTTCTCATCCTTGCCATGGACATTGCTGGAGATGACGCACGTGAGCTGGTCGGGCAGGGAGATGCTGGTGTACTGGGCCCACCACCGGTTCACGATCAGGGTGACATAAAAACCTGCACTGAGAGATGGCACGTGAGGGAGGCTCGGTGCATCCGGGCAGTGGGTCAAGGCAAGGATGAGCCTGCACCAGGAGAGACGCCATGTTTCCAGGGGTGATAGATTTCTCTGTGGCCAGGAGGTAAAGCACAGATTGCCTTTCCCCTTTGGCTGCCCTCCCCAGGGATGGAGGTGGGGATGTCCCCAGCAATTCCCTGCCATGAGTGCGGATGGCACAGGGCAGGACAGCTATCTCTTGTAGATAAGGTGCCCCTTTCCTGGGCATGGGGAGGGTGCAGAGCAGGCCAGGGGAAATCACAGCCTCCCACTGGCATCCCCAGGGCCAGGGAGCTGCGCTCATTGAGTCTGGGAGCCAAGTGCCATCTCTGGGGCTCCAGGTTCTTCCGTCCCCCATCCAATGGTGTCTAAGGGATGTTTTAGCATGAGGTCAGGATGGGCAGTGGGAGCATCCTCAAGCCATCAGCACCAGGGTGAGTGAAGGACCTCAGCTCTTAGGTTCAGGAGAGGGACCCATACCTAGGACAAATGACATGAGGATGTGGAGCGGTTGCAGTATTGAGCCACTTTGGTATAGAGCTGCTTCCGCTCCTCGGTCAGCAGTTGCCTGCAGTGGACAGAGAGCGGTGTCAGGGACACAGAGTGGGGTCAAGGGCAAGTGGTGGGACTGCCTTGGACCTTCACAAAAAGCCACTGCCCAATTCCCCTTCTCCTTGCCCTCCCTTGCCTACTCCCACCCTCCCTGAGGGAGTCCCCTGGGCTTCTCCCCTCCCTGCAGGGACTCCAGTCCATGACCAGTGGGGCATCTCTGCACATCCCAGTGGGTCAGCAGGGAGGGGCACCACCGGCAGCGACACACTGACCCCGCTCACCAATAGATGAGGCTGAGCACATCATACAGCACCACGAAGACAATGAACTCCTTGTACAGCAGCTTGTAGATGCTGCCTTTCCAGCGGAAAAGCAGCTTGGGGAAACCCCCGAAACGGGAGTTGGCGACTTTCAGTGTGTAGGAGACGGTCATCGTGGCTCAGCCCCGCACCTCAGTGGAAAAATCCTTCTCTCGCTGGCTGCCAGCTAAACTGAGGAGAACTGGTGTTCTGGCTGCTGTCCGGGCTGCAGGGCCTGGGGACACGCGCTCGATCCCACATTGAGCGCTATGGCCCGTCAGCAGGATCGCCCACGCGGCTGCCTTGCCCTCCCCACGCCTGCTGCCGCTGCCTGCCTGCTCCCTGCCTGCACCCACCCGTCCCGCCGGTACCTCTTCCCTCTAAATAGCCCAGCATGGGCCCAAACAGCCGAGCCCTCCCCATGATGGATTGGGGCTGTCAGAAGCAGGGACAGGGAACTCCGGGTCAGTCACACTTCCCTGTCATCGGCCACAGCTGGAGATTTCAGTGGGGGCTGCGGGTGCTGGAGCTGAGGCTGGGCACTACCCACTGGGGTGGTTTAGGTCATTCCCCTTTGCAGCCCCGATGACTGTATTTAGGCTCCATGAGAAAGAGGAGAAAGGACAGAGAATTCCATCGCTCCTGGTAGCCCTGGGAAGGGGACTCTGGGGCATGCAGGCAGAGCTGGCACCTAGGGAAGGCTGCGGGATATTTCTGGAGCATGGGTGAAAAACATGCCCGGCACTGCCTGCGTCCCTGCTGCCAGCAACAGGCAGTGCCTGGCTGACCCCTCCCTGTCCTGCCTCCGCACTGTGGCAGCTCCTGGTCCCTCCGTGTCCCTGCGGGGGACTTGGGGACGGCATGAGCTGGGGCACGCCAGGATCCCCTGGGTGTCCCCTGGCCGCACTACCTGGCAGGGGGTGGTGGAGGCATATCAAAGGCTGGCACTGAGCCACTTTCCCACGGCCTTGGAGGGAGCGGGAAGGAAAAAATTCCAGCAGGACATAAACCAGTGGGAAAGATTCGTGAGTGACAGTGAGACATGCAGAGAAATCATCCTGTCCTCGTCCCCAACCCGCGCTGGGGCAGAGCGCTGCTGGGGCCCGTGGCTCGTCCCGCTGTGGGCTGCTGGAGGCCACGCCATGCTCCGCAGGAAACGCTGCTTCCTTTGCCGGCGGGAGCTTTGCCCTGCCTGGCTCCCTCCCTTCCTGCCCGGGCACAGCGCCCGGCCCTGGCCCAGGTCGGCTCCAGTGCGGAGCAGGGCAGCTACTGGGGCTTAAGGCCTGGGAAATGTCCCCCTGGGCAGGAGGGGAAGGACTCAAGGGTGACCCATCCCCAGAAAAGGGCTGGAGCAGCCATGGGTGAGGCTCACTAGGGGGGTGCAGGGAGGTGATTTACAGCACCCTCAGCCTTTGCCCCATTCCCAGGAGCCACACAGCTCCCGGCTGGGAACCAAAGCATTTACAGCAGACTGGTGCCTTCCCCAGCCAGGCTGTAAATCACGGTGCGAGGCAGGGGCTCTGCTCGCCCTCAGCCCATGCCCAGCTCTGCTCTGCAAGGATGGCAAAGCAGGCCCAGGGCTGCTGGACAAAACCCATGCTGGGGCATCCCCCAGGGCATGGGAGGGGCGATGGGTAGGAATGAAGCCCTCCCCATCCCTGTGCTCCCCCATGTCCCATCAGTCAGCTCCCCAGCGCCCTGAACCACGCAGACACAGGGATGGAACTGCACTGCCAGAGTAAAATGATTTATTTCTTATTGAGAGCTGGATCCTACAGCACTTGGCAGCACATGGGGCAGGGGAGGACGCAAGGGGTCCCTCTGGGGCCTCGCACACCCACACAGTCTCTGCACACACATGTGCACGCACACTCGTGCATGCAGCAGCACATGTGCACCAGCTGTTTCAAGCCCCCATACCACGTGGTGCGACATGGTGGGATGTGGGGTGGGGTGCTGGCAGGGCCACCCCAGGCTCCCTGCCAAGCCCAGGGCACCCCATTCACGCATGACTCTCCTGCAGACCACATAGGCAGAGCCAGCCCCACTTCATGTCCCAGACTCTGTTCTCTGCGGGCTGCGTAGCAGCAGGTCCATGCCAGATGATAGCTGGCTCCAGTGAGAGAGGATGGAGGCCCTGGTCAGTGGGTCTGGCACACACAGTATCGGCATCTGGTCCCCAAAACCAGATAACAGCCCCCATCTCCTCCATACATCCTTCCTTAGGCACTGCCAGCCCATGTCCCCAAACAGTCAGCCTGTGGCAGGGTCCCCAGTGCCCGAAGCACTCTCACACCCCCTGCCCAGCTGCGGCACATGGCAAGCAAGGGGTGCATGTGGTAGCACAGGGGAAGGGATGGGAATTTGGGGTGCAGCTTTGCAAAGAGCTACAGTAAGCCACAGCAGGACAGCTCATGCCTCTCCTGCTCTGCTGGCCTTCGCTACAGTCCAGCCCAGCCATCCTCCTGGCGTGTCCCAGACACAGCCCAAGTCCCAACATCAGTGCAGGTCAATGTTTTCATACTCCAGGTTGTCTGAGTCCTCCAGCTCAATGCCGGGTACCAGGTTGTAATAGTTGGTTGACTGACTCATGTAGATCTTCTCCAGGTCAGCAGAGTCCTTCAGGACTTCACTCACGCTGACGGTGTCCACCTCTGGCTCGCTGCCCCCCTGCTCCTCTGCCCTCGGTGCCAGGGTGTCCCGCTGCCTACCCAGCCCTGTGCCTTGCTGCCCTTCATGAGTTGGCACCTGGGAACTGATGGGAGATCCCACCTGGATCTCCACCTCCTCATAGAGGTCCCTGCCACTCTCCAGCAGGTCCGTGGAGGGCTGCAGCAGGACCTGCCTCCTCAGTAGCACCTTCTTCTCGGTCTCGGAGGGAGCAGTGGGCAGCTCATAGGGGACGTAGTGGTGGGGCTCTGCAGGCACTGGCATATTGCCCCTCTCCACTGTGGCTGGTTGGCTCTGGGACCTGCTCTGAAGGCTGTAGTTGGTCTTTCTCTTCCGCCTGCAGAAGCACCAGGTGATGCTGGCGAGGATGAGGAGAGGGGGCAGACAGATGAAGAGGGCGGTGAGGCTGTGTGAGCGGCACAGCTCATCCCGGGGGATGCTCTGAAGGTCAACGCCACGGTACCGCTCCGGCATGTGGCAGATAACCTCAGTGGCCAGGCTGGGCCAACCCTCTAGGTTGCTGAGCAAAGCGCAGCTGCAGTCCCAGCTATTGTTGGAGAGCTGGAGCTGGAGCAGAGATGGCTTCAGGAGGCTGGCGGGAAGGAAGGTCAGGGCGTTGAAGCCCAGGTAGACCTCCCGGACCTGGGTCGATGCTTTCAGGAAGGACTTGGGCAGCTCCTGGAGCTGGTTGCCATCTAGATAAAGGACCCTCAAATTAGGGGCATCTTCCAGAAAGCTTACAGGGAGACTTTCCAGCAGGTTGTGACTTAAGTGCAAGATCTCCAAGGCACGGGGGACTCCCTCTGCGTTGCTGATATCCGTGATGCTGCAGTGCGAGAGGTAGAGCTCCCGCAGCCCCCGCACCTCTACCAGTGTGCCCCAGTCCAGGTGGGTGATGTTGGAGCTGGTGAA